CAAAGATAAAAAATTAAATTTAAAGAAAATAATAAAAAAGACGATTAAATATATATATATGTTATATATATATATGTTATATGTTATATATATATATATATATAAAGTATATATATTATTTTATACAATTTAATTGATTTAATTTTGGTTTATTTTATTTTAATCGTTGTTTGGCAAAAAAAATTAAAAGTTTAAGAGGATTTAGCAGAACTGTGATCAGAAATGAAAATTAATTCACAAAAATAAATCAATATTTTTTGAAATGAACAAAAAAATCTCAACAAAAAAATTTTTTTGAAATCCCAATGATTGAGTTCAGCAGCTAACAACAAAAGCAAAGTGCCAGAGGGCAAGCGATCGGCACTTCTGATCAGCACTGCAGGAATAAAACTGTCTAAAAAAAATCCCTGGTACTGGTGACTTTGAATTTACTTGGCAATATTGCCGCTAAATGAAAGTTTTCTGTCTGCCCGCCGCATTCGTTGTCTTTTGTTGTTATTAATTTTGTTGTTAATAATTTTCCACAATAAGCCACTTATACATCCACAATCATTTTTTGTATACATTTTTGGATGGTTAAACTTAAACATCAAATTTAGATCAAATTACAATGGTTTTTCCGATAATGCGTATGACGATTAAGCGCAGAAATAAATATGCGCTGGCTGCATCCTTCTTCAATGGCATTTGTTCTCTTGGTTGTTTCGTTATTGTGGTGCAAAACTTTTCCAACGTTCTCGATAGTTTGTAAGTGATGATAGTTTAGGAACATGCAAGAAGCATGGAGCATTTTTAACCATTTATTCAGTCAATCAAATTTAAGAGTAATACTCTTCTACCATGGATGGAGCCTGTAGCTCAATGGTAAAACAATTGCTACCGAAGATCGAGGGTCAGTTCGAATCCGTCGAAGCAACATTCCTTGTCGGGTGGCATTGTCCCTAAGGGAGAAAAGCAAAGAAGGACAGATTAGCTCAATGTTTATTATTTAGATCGAGGTACAGATCTGAGATCCTACTTCCGGCAGGAGTAAACCATGTCCAAAAATCCTGGTGATGATGGCGACTCACCTGTACTTCTACTTCTATCCTTAATGGACTGTCCGGCATATTTGTCTAATGTGATAAGCCAGCGTAGTGTTTTTGGTCTAACTGATAATGATGAGTGCTCTTAAAAATACCATGGTGGAGATGGGAGGGGGTTTTCAGCATCATCCGGGCTCATTACATATTGTATACGTTGTTTTCTCACTTAAAACTTAATTTCTAGCTAGAAACTAATGTAATGATTAAAACCCGATGTTTTGCCTCATAAAATGTTTGATAACGTCAATGTTAATAAATACACCAATTTCTATCTTTTCTTATTATTTTAATATTTTATTTCTTATTATCATATTTTATTTCTTGAAAATTTTTTTGATAAGATTTGCAGATACGGTTTAACTCATATTCAAGGACTTATCGCTTATATATCTCACTACATACTGATAGTCAACTTAACAAACAGCATTTTTCATTTCTTCTTGATGAATGTGGTATTTAATCAGAGATTTAAAGCATTCAGGTTGAAGGCTTCAAGTTTTAAAGTGCCTTTTTACAGAAATTTTGTCTTTATTAGCATTGTCAGAAAGTCTGAGAAATTTTATTTTATTTTAATAATTTACAATACTATTTGGAAGAAACATTTCGCAAGAGAATAATTTACTTTTTGCATAAATACATGGAAAAGAAAAACAGGCAGTTGGTTTAAATATGTCGTAAGACGTTACTCCAGCTGAATTCAAAAATCACGGGTTCGATCCATGTTTCTCGATGAGGAGAAATTTAATAAAAAAGTCGGCTACCTATATTTCTATCACCAAATGACCGTCTAACGAAAAGTGTTGTGTCTATTAGCACTAATATGTTTATTTACTAATAATGCATTTAAATAGCATTTTCAATTTTACTATCTTTTTTATATATTATTTCAGCATATTTCGATTATTATTTCTTATCTAATATTTAGTAATATTTTAAATGTTTTATTATCAGCTTATTACCATCTTAATTTCGATCGAAGTCTATTGCACGGATTAGTCCAAGTTTGTTTTTTTTTCTTTTATTTAAATTCATGTTTTTGTGGAAACAGAAAAAAGGTTCCATGGAATTCAATTTTTTCTTCTTACATAATATATCAATGATAGCCTATTTGTTATTGGCATAGACGCATATTATCGTTTGAGAATTAGGAGTTCAGACCCACTTCGGACATGAGTAAATTTGCTTTAAAAAGTCCGAATTGCTAGTTGTTGCTAATGATCCATCTATATTACGTCCGTGGCTTAGGGGTAGGATTTCACCGAGAATTGAGGCTAGAAAGTTCAAATTTGGCCGATGCACTACTAAAATGGTTCAGTGAGTTGTTTCTCAAATCGAAGCATCGATGCTGAGATCCAATTCCCCAGAGTAAATCTGTTCAAAAATCTGGATGATGCTGGCAACTCACCTGTATTTCTATTCCAAGGGACTATCTGGCATATTTATCCAATGCGACAAGCCAGAGGAGCGAGTCTAATCAGCAGTGTTGAGTGCTAAAAATGACTCAACTGTATTACTTCGTTTCTTTGATTAAAATTTCAAACCGTACGAACAGTGTCGCTAGTATAATCAAGATTGTTTGTGCTGCTGAGTGCTACTTATGCAATATAAATAAAGGCTATGTTGGATGATGAACTAAATTTGGCGAATAAAGAGACCATTCATATATTGCAAAATTTTTTCCAATGTTGTGCAATTGATGGTTATAAGGACTGGATATTGGCTGATCAAAGAGAATTCAGTGGAGCAAAACGGTTGATTTTTATTTTCTCGAGATTTAAGCTAAATTATTTATGCTTTTTTTAAAAATATCAGCATTTTTATTTTTTGCTGCGGTTTTTGTTGCATATTTTAACAACTTTCGTTGAGCTAAAAGTATTTATTAGTATCTAAAATAAAGTGAACTCCTTTGTTCAAACAAATGAATCTGTGAAACTTTACCTTTACCATAACCTAAGCTAATTGTTGTCAAATTTTTTCTTTGAATATGGCACTTCCATTAAATTAGTAAATAACTGGTATATTTTTTCAGTCAGCTTTATGCATCTGGTTATAAATGGAACCACTGTACATCATTTGGATGTTATTTGCCACATTCATGTTGCAGGAATAACCAAATCAATTGTTCACCGAGAATTCTGTTTCAAAATCTTACAATAAACACTGCTGTTGGGCCACAGAGAACCTTGCAGTGGTTTCATTCTGAAGGTTAAATTTAAGATTGGTTCTGGAAAACGTTAGAGAATAATAATCTTAAAAAAGAGTGGTCAAGGTAGTTGAGGTCCGAATAGTTTGTCTAGAACAACTTTCATTAGCTATCATTTTGTCCAAATGACTTTCACTGGTTCTTGTCATTTTCGTGTCATTCAATTAATTAGTAAATGCATTTTAGGTTGTGTTGATGCCGTAAGAAATCATCTCAACCCACTATATTTTTTATCATTTTCTGTGTTTAATTTGTTTTTGGTTATCGTTTGTTTTATGTTTACTCAAATAGCAGCTACTGGCTATTATGCTGTTGAGAAATGTGCAGCCTGGGAAGAATCAATTTTGCCGGCATGGATTATTACTTTTTTTTCGCCTCATCCAAATAAAATTATGCAGGCATATATAATGAATATTTGCTAATTAGATTAACTCTTGCAAAATAATTTATTTCAATCATAGTTTTAAAATCTTAATTTCATGATAACTAAATTGCATTCCATTACAATACTCTTCTGACATTTGCAATGATTTAAAATATTTAAGGAAATCGAAGATCTATCTAAATTATTTCGAAACTAAAAACTTTTTCTCCGAACAATGCTCTCCATTTTTGCTTTGGCTGAGTTTTATGATCTCTCCTAGATTTATTTGCTATTATAAGTACCAACTCACGAATACTATCCGGGTTTACTTTTAGCAACAAGTCTATTCTTATTGCATTTTTCATTCTTATCAGGAAACAGGAGTCGAACCTTTAATATTATCATCCTAGACAAAGAACAATATTCTCCACCGTTCCTAGTAAAAACGAATGAGCACTGAATAATAAAACAAATTAGTTCCAATGCATAAAGATAATTTGTATTAACATATACTAAAATCTGAATTAAATCTTTCAGAAGTGCGCAAAACTGCTGAAAGAAGGCAAAGATTTCGATGCATTGAACGTCGATAAAAGAAAAAACAAAGAAAGAAAGAAAAAAGGGCAAAAACGCTTATCTAAAAGTAAGATCGACGAGCAACAGACTGAAACTAAAGGAAATTTTTAAAAAAAGCATATAATTATCTAATAATTCTAATTTTTCTTTTTACCAGCCAATTGTATTCGAAATAATGATTAAATTATTTATTATTATTATTTTCTTTTATTTCAACGAAAATTTTCCAAATTTTTTAAAATTAAATACGCTCCAAAAACATTGATTGGTAGGTAATCCGTATAAAAGATAATCATAAAGATAATCAAGCGAAATTATCAACGCAGATTTTTTTGGCTTAAGATCCACGAAGGTCATTTCGATGAATGACTTCTCCAGTCAAATTAAAATTACCCTATACAAAGGATATAAATAAATAAGGTAATATAAGTGAGCAAATAAAAGTCAAAGTTGTTTTTCTAAATCGTAGTATGAAGCTTAATGAAACTCTTCCAGTTCGTGATAAATTTAGTTATTAATTATTATCACTTTTATAATTATCAATTATTATTACTTTTCCCTTAGATAAGTTCAAAAAAATTTTTTTAAGAAAATTTTATTTCCATTTCAAAAATCGAAATTAAGAGCTTCAGATTTTTCAGGTTGTCCAGCATTTCATTTGTTGTTTATCTTAGTTTTCTACTAACTTAATTATAGGCAGATGGAAGGAATTTATCTCGACTAGGAAAGTTTCAGTATGCTCGCACACTGGAGCTAATCTTTGCTCATACCATTTTAATGTCTGCGCGAATTATATGGTCAATTTTTACAAAATGAATAAATGCTTCATTTCTTAAATCATATAATTATTTTTTTTATTTTTTATAATTATTTTATTTTTTATAATTATTATTATTTCATTATTTATTTATTGAAAACTAGCTAAGCAAGGCGCAAAAGCCATGTGCTTGTATTAATAACAACAGTTAAAATAACAAATAATAAGAATTAATGACAAAAACAAAAATAATAAAATAAAATATAATTAACAATTTAAAGATGAAATAAAGAGGAAATTACAAAATAATATAATATAGCAAAATTTAAAATAACTATAATCGGATGGTAAAAATCGAGATTTCACCCTTCCTGCAATATGTGAACTTTTTAAATAATATTTTTAAATATAAATGATATTACCTATTTTTTATTTAAAAATAGCTAGAGATGGCGCACAAGCTATATCGTTCGGCAGTTTATTCCAGTAATTAATATTACGAATAAAGAAATTATGAGTCCTTAGTTTAGTTTTATACATAGGTTTTAATAATTTTAGCCCATTAGTTCTTGGATTTAAATAACCTAAAATTATAATATTTTCTAATTTAATATAACCATACAGAATCTTATAAGTATAAATTAAATCTTGTATAATTCGACGAATTGAGAGGGAATCCAGGTTGTATTGTAGGGATTTTCTTTTATAATTAAAATTGCAATTAGGAAAGAGGCGTCGTATAAAGTATTTTTGGATTTCTTCAATTATTTTACTTGATTTACGATATCTCGGGTAACAGGTAGTAGTGTAGTCAAGAAAAAGGCCGTACAAATCTTTGTACATTCTGATAAGAAAATCTTCAGTTTTGTTCTTAACGAACGATAAATAAAATTTAATTTAATTTAATTTCTTTGAAGATTTCTTTAACATAGTTCTGTAGTGAAGGGAAGGTCGAAATCGAGATTTTCATCCATGATTATTCCAAGATTAGAAATTTGTGAGATTGATTATACTGCCATTGATAATAAGATTAGGAAAATCGAAACCTTTAGAATTGATATGAAGAACGCTAGATTTTTGAAAGGAAAGGGTAATTTGCCTATCAGCTATATAGCCAGCTGACTAATCTATTGAGGTCCTCCTGCAGTGGAGATAGGCTACCATGAAAATAATAATTTTACAATCATCAATCATCAGCATAAAGATAAATAATAGAATTTAGTACCACATTGGTGACATCATATATATTAGAAAAAGCAATGGCGCAATGCAATTAACTTAGGGAACACCAGATTTAACAGGTATGGGGTCAGAGAGAGTGTTATTTATTATTATTCCATCCAATTTTAAATGTTATTTAAAATTATTTTATGGAAATTATCCGTTTCAAATTATTCATTTCATAAAGGAAAAGAAAAAGTCAAAATTTATAGCACGGAAACTGCTAAATGTTATAACGAAAGTTTAAAACATGGGTCATCATGGGTTACGTAAAAATTTCGTTTTTTTCGATTCGACATATCAATACTCTGCTGCATTTTAGTTTTTTTCATCTTATCAGTGATTATTTTGATGATACTTCAATAAACGATTTAATGCAATTATTCATCCATATTATATCTCTTTATGTTTCACAATAGAAAATTTTTTTACATTTATTTTTAATTTTTTTTTAAATTTAAATTTTAAAACGATTTTTCGAAACCTTTTACGGTGGTTTCCATATTTAGCATTTTCAAGTCGATCTGAGTGGAGTCATTTCTTATTTTATCTTCGAGTGGCATATCCCTATACCAAAATCCTGTTACTGTTTAACAGATTTAGCATTAAAGCTAAAACGATTGAACTTTAAATTTTTAATTTAAAAAATTTGAATAAATAGAAACTTTATTTTTCTTTTTGGAAGAGTCCTGCACAAATTATTCGTTTTTTCTAACAATTCTAACAACTATCATTTCTAAGACCATTTCTGGTAGGTTTAGACTCAGCTTTTATAGGACAAAATCCGAATAGTACCGATGATCCACCCATAATTCTGTCACGAAATAATTTCCTAACAAAAATTTTTAACCTTATGGACAGTCAGCGGAATTAATTCAACCAAAAATAGTGAGTGCTAACTATTTACTTTCTACATATATAGGATAGAAAGCTAAAATTAAATTTAAACTTTTTAAATTTCTAAAACAGATTTGTTGGTAGAATGAAAATTTTGCTGATCTTATAATTTGTTTGTTTTCGATTTTACAAATTTATGTTTTTTCTTTTAACTTTTAAACTTTCTATTTTTACCTGAACTATAATGGATAATTTTATTCACTTTTTTCTCTTTAAGAAATTTCATTCTTCCAATTTCATTCTCATCTCATTCTTCCAATGTTAAGTCAGAAAAGATTTGAATATATATGTGGGACAGCATGTGGACTTACACGCTGGAAAAAGGAATAGCTTTTTTTGTTGTCAATGATTGTATCGGATCGAATTGAGCTTTACCTTCTAGCCAGTGCAGCCAGCCTAACTAATAATGGTGAGAGAAGATGAAGAATAAAGAAGGCTTTGATATCTTATGATATTAAGTGCTGGCAAAATATTTTTTTGTTTCTTATTACAATCTCACATTCTTCTCAAAATTCAAAATTTACAGGCCTCTATTATATTAACCTTTCTTAATTCTAAATAAAATGCAAGTCAGTACTAAGGACGGTTGAATGACGGTCATATTGCTTTGACTAAAGTCAAACCACCATGGATCCGACCCCTGTTCGTTAATAGGAATAAACTTCACACTAGAAATGAAATTCTTTTGAAATGAAATGAAAAAACGAGTGGTTATTTGGATCTATCTAACCTTTCTATCCTCATGTGATTCTCTGGTAAAGAATCTATTGATCAGTCGAAACAAAAGTAGTGAGTACAATTGGAAGAATTTTAAATTCTCCGTACTTTATGTCCAATAAATCTATATAGTTATAGGCAAGTAAGTAAATGGTTAGCGCTCACCATTTCTGCTTGGGCTTCCTCCGCTGACTTTTAGTGCGGTCAAAAGTTTTTGCAAGAGAGTTCACCTGGCAGTAGAGGTATGTCATCCTGATTTTTTGATGGTAATTTACTCATATCAGAACTCACCTCTCAACACGATGATCTAAACCAATGTCCACTTGACTATCCCTCACTCTGATTTTAGGTCGAATGTTTCGCTACAAAAATCGCAATGAACTTCCAGTTCCAATATATTTGAAATTTAATTCATTTACTCATTGTATTACAAAATTCTATAACCGGAGAAACAAGGCACAGAAGAACAGGTCATTCCTCAGCATTTTTCAGATTTCAACTGTGCTCCACTTCAGCTTTAATTTTAAACAGTTCAGCAATCCTGTGATGATAAGGTTTATTCGAACAAGAAGTGTGGATCTTATGTTGCTTAAATTATTCGTGGCAGAAAATCACTGGTACTTTATTTCAATAATATTTAAAAATTGAAAAGCTTGTTAGATGATTTTAACGCGATTGGAAGCAATTTGACTGATCTGAGTGCTCGCAACTTTACAAGAATCTTTTTTTTATCTCTAATTCTTTCTAACTCATTTCTAACTCTTTATCTATGAATTGGCTATATTTTCCTATTTAATCCGGCCCATTTTCCATATGATGTTATAAAAATATTAGAAAATTGTCCGCAAAATGTCATTCACGATCACCAGAAATTTTAGAGAAAAATTACA